GGTCCATTAACTGCCTTCTGATATTTGGCTTCTCGGGGATTTTATGGATTTATTTGGTTACGTTCAACCTTCGCCTTCTGATTTACTTGGCACGTGTTTCTCTGTAGCGGTGTTCATAGTTAATCTCAACTCGACGCCACGCTACAATCTAAAGCATCTACTAAACTACTGTTTGAAGACTAGCCTCAATATGCTCCTTGAGGTAAAAGAAACACCTGAGTTATAGCAGGTTAGATGGATTCAGTCAGTTCATAGGAAGCGATACTCCTCTAGATAGTCAGGGCAGCATAAACGGAATCGTTATAGCGTTTATGCTACTTGGTTGAAACTCGATAAGCTATCTAATTTTTTCCACACATATAGGTATCAACCTAATGTAACAGAATTAATAGTCTGAAGATCCATCCCAAGCGCTTTATTTAAGATGGTGAGTAAGATTTATGGCTCAGGTAAGTGATTTTGATAGAGTTTCGTTCTCTAAACTGGATGGTTTGGTCATGGAGCTTTCATTGTTCTACTGAACGAATTGTTCAACACGTACTCCAGGCAGAAATAAAGTTTGAGCATTTTTTCACATATGACTGTCCGCTTGTTCTGTCGATCTCGGTCTTGATTGCTTATTGTTGACCTTTAACCTGTCATTATCAGCCTCTTTGTTTTAATCGTATCGCCTGTTGGTCTGTTTCTTGGTCCCGTATTTGTCAATGATTTTTCTGATTGGTTGATGAATTTGAATAATTTTGACGTGTTTGTTAATTCCCTAATGAATTACGTACACACATTTTTCCAGTTCTACGTGCATTTATTATCGTCCACATGCATTGATATATGCGAAGATGTATCATGGCGTTTGACCTCTAGTTGGTGTTCATGCAGACGAAGAGGAAGGTAGCGTGCACTTTATCAGATATAGTGCGTTTTGCACATGAAACAGTTTATTTTGTAGATGATCAGTTTTTCTTATTTAATGATTTCGTACTTTAGTTTATAGAAAAACGATTGAAGTGATTTTGCTTATTTGTGTACAACACCTTCGCCGAACGGCTTTAACAACCTCGTTGTGATTTCTTATATATCTTTTACATATATTAGGATGATCCATATGTTGACTTTACTTGACCGCATTATTATTACTTTAATTTTTCTATATGGTTGGTATGTAAAATCTCATATTGGATTCGTGCAATTTCTTTTCCATTCCTCAATCTTTGCTGACTAGACCATTATTTTTCGGCTTAGTCAATATTTACCTTTATTGTTTAGCCTTGCTGCATGATCCCCAACTATTAACAATCAGCTCTTGTTTGATGGAACTCAAGTTTACGCCATGGAAGAGTTGATTATCTTTGCTCTTAGACTGTCTTTTGATTAAGGTTATAGTCAAATAGAATCTTTGTAGATGGAGATATAATCCCATTATGCTGAGAATATTCTTGTGATTATCAGGTACTTAACAGTTGTATTTACTAACCATTTTTCGCTGTAAATTACATTATGTTGTACTAAACGCACTTTTGACTACATAGTGAGAGCTATATTGTTTGGTTATTTTGTAGTTTTTGATTTAGTTTGGCTTCATACTAAGACTGTGAATCATACACAAAATATGTATTTTAATATAAGTATTAGATACGAGTAACTCAAATAACCTTCGTAAACTATACAGAGGAACTTAGTTTGGCATAATCGAACCAAATTTGAAATTTTCGGATGGCCATAAATTTGTAGTTTAGTTGTTACACGTTGTTCAACACTTTTAACAGTAGAGTTTATCAACGAATATGCAGTCGTAAAAATTGAAGAATATTTGAAACAATTTGCAAAAGCTATCGAGCAGTAAACAGATTAATCTACTTATTTTTACATTTGAGGTGATCACTTAATCGAAGATAAGCTAAAGTGATTCATCTATTGATAAAAAGTATGCACAATATCGATTGACGGAGCTGTATATTATTAAACTGCATGCTATGGACACATGTATGATGCAGCGATTCCACCTTGCGCCACTGTCAGCTGCTAATACCAATATAAATGCTGTTGCTCATTGAAAGTACTTATTCCAGCCAGTCATCTGGTTATAACGATAGAATAATTGTGGCTTTTGTACTTATTGACGACTCCTTTCTACTTGATTACCTGCTGATTAAAAATCTCAAATACAGTACGTCCATTTTTGCACATCTAGTCCTAACTGTTTAGAATTGCACAGTAGATCATTTGACTTTTTAGTTAGCACATTAATTCGAAAACTTAATATTATCATATTGACGTCGGGATGAAGTCTGTCACTGGACAGTTGGATATACGTCCGAATTGTGAAGCTTTCGAAAATTAAATGAAAAAGTTTAAGATCTGGAGTATAACCAGGAAAGATGTTGAGGATGATAAAACTGTGACTCATTTCTTTAAATCCATTGGGAAGGATACATAGAGCTTACTAAAAAATTTGCCCTTTCCAGATAACCCTATTTTACTTCTTTTTGCAACTGTCGAAGAACTGTAGCGTGGAGTCGAGTCTCGGTTGACTATGAACACTACTACAAGAAGACTACATGCCAGTTAGCCGATAAAATCCCCCGTAAGCCATATATCAGAAGGCAGTTGATGGCTGTAATCGAGATGTATTTGTTGGCGATCTCGTGGTATCGAAAGAATACCGAGATCGTGTATAATGTTTTGAATTATTTGCATTATGGTACACACTAAGAGTCCCAGAAATAACGCAATTGAATTAAGAAGTAAGACACAAACACAAACGCATGTACTGTATTTGGAATTCGAAATCAAGCATTCAACAAATACCAAGGTATCATTAGTTCATTCAAACACCACATCGTGCCAAAGGAGCACAAGCGTGGTTACCGAGCATAACCGAACCCGTGCAAGGTCCCAACCAAAGGGTAATGGAGCAGTAATATGGCTGTCTTTAGCACAGTGAAACAATCACTGGTACAATTGCTTATAAAAATGATTGTTTCCATTAAACCAATCGCGTTCTCTTGATAACAGTAGGTCACTACAGGAGCTTCCCGCTAGAAAGGGATTACTTTTTCGATATGTAGCGGTTCTGTTTGTGGGACTGATCGGCAAACGTGCGATTGTAGGAAGAAGGGATTGGCGAAACAGGAAGCGATTGTTGATCCTCGAGTTGCCAACGAAGATCTTTCACATAGAACGGTACCAGGAGAAGCGTGCTGAATTTGTTGCTCGAGCTAGCATACCACACCAGAGTGGTTTATATTCAAGGCCTGAAGGTTGAGTTCGTAGGGGTCCGGACCAGAAAACGCTGCAGAAGCAAGGCGAAACCACGTTGAGCCGAGGAACCAGAAGCGACCATAACAACCAGGTTTGAGACCATACGTGTGCCAAACAGTCGAGACCAAAATATCGACCGAGTGCGTTGACAAGAGCGTGAGTGATCAGGCCAACTTCCACCAAGAGTGACTGAAGTCAACGATGCCAAATAGGCGATGGTCGGCGGCGTGGACTCAGGATACAAAAAAAAATCAAAAAAAGAGAAAAGTGTGGCATGCATGTAGTATAGGAATAGTCCTACACCGTATCTGTTGTTGACTGTGCGGTTGGTCGCGCAAGCATACGAGTAAGCGTACTCGGCGACCGGAACGTGAGACGGTAGTCTCGTTCGTATTTCGTGAGCCTGCAATCTCATCCGAAGTCAAGGGCGGCGTGGTCTGCTGATCTGGACGTGTGACTGAAGTCTCGTCCGTAGATGGTGCAGATGACACGTGCCGTTGACTGGGACGTGAGAATGAGGTCTCAGGTGTATCTAGTATGAGACCTGAAGTACATGTAAGGATCCCGCTAGTATGATAGGTCTAGCATTGAGTCTCAAGTTATCGTGTAGAGCACTGTCATCGACGTGTGCTGGTTTGAGACGATCAATGCCGACGATCCCGACGCGGCCATGTCGATCAGCCCTGAAGGTCTTTTCGTGACGAAGGGCCTTCGTAAGGTTGTTGCCAAGGTTTGCGTACCGAATCTACTCGTACAAAAACATGTGAACAGGTAGATAACTCTCGAGGGAGAGCGACCTGTCGATGTTGTATATGAGTTGACACCAGAATTAAAGTATCAAACCTGGAAAGGAACTTCATACAAATGCCGAATTTTTCCTTCCGAGACGCTTGAAATGCACGTATTATATATAAGGCAGTACATGAAATCAACTTCCAAGACAACCAAAATTCTACTAAATTACTTATTGATTTAATTCGATTATGAGCCAAGGCCATACAAGTAGGCTTTTGATTGACGATGACCCTCGTTCTCATGAAAACATGAATAGAAATTCACCAATTAGTTGCATAGAAAGTTAAAAAGGTGAGAGAAGGTTTGATAAATATTCTTCTTGTGATAAATCTCACGTAATGTGTCTCTTGTCATGCTAAATGCCTTAGTGGCCCCGACACAGGTCAACACTTTTATTATCTTTCTAAATATACAACCTACCTATCATTTGATAAAGAGAATCATGGTAGAGCCTTTGTGATCAAATAATTTTTGGGCTTCTCATTAATTTCTAGTGCATGGTTGTTTCGGCTGAAGGACAGTGAATTTGAACTTTGCCGTTTGATTGCAAGCAACTCACCAAACTGCCAAACGAACGATGTCCCACCACAAATCAAGTGACCAAATATAAAGACGGTCGCGAAAATTTGTAAAGTTAAAGTGGCAAGTCTCGTGATATTAAAAGAAGAAAAAGTCAGTTCATGAGGCCTAATAATAGTAATACACGAGATACTAGGCAGAAGCTTATAAAATGATAACACGAAATACGTATTTTGACCTCAGTTTATACTTTTTCGGTCTTAAGAAGCTCTTTTGTCATCCGATTGATGTTTGGATTACTACATGTAACCTTTTCTCAAAGTGATTGTTTTAATTACTCAATTTTGAAGGATATCATGTGACACAATCTTAAAGTTGCTGAGTTGTTGGCATTTCGGTAATGTTTGTGTCGTAGGCTTGAATTACTAATGGGCTTATGTAAGTGTGAACGGAGACGGGTAACTAACCTGTTTTGCTTCGAGCACCGGGTCAACGTGTGTGAGTTTTGTTTGGTGGCAAATCACCACAAGGTATGGAAATGCTTGATGAGTTTTATTACAATAGTGCATTGTTAAATCCTATCTTCGATGGATAAAAGACAGTGACTTTAACCCATCATGTAGCCTTTGTCACGAGCCTTTCGAAGCGGATCCTTCCAAAAAATGTATTCGTTTGGTGTGCCTTGGTTTGTGAAATGTAGAACTTATATTTGAGTAAACGACTGTTTTTCTAGATGTTTTCCACTGGAATTGTCTCAATAATCATGTGATGAGCTTGCCACCAACAACAACCCCAGCAGGTTTTTTGTGCCCGTTGTGTAGCCAACCAATCATTCCTCAGGCTAATCATGGCGGTCCTATCGCAGAAGCGCTCAGATCATGTTTAAGCGAAGTTGATTGGGCCAAAGAAAGTTTGAACGAAATAAGGCCTTTTTTCCATCTGGAAGGTCATCCGAAGTCCACGTCAACGCCTAACATGAACATTTGTGCTTCAAGTGAGCTTTTGGTTCATATTACGATGGATTAGTTAATAGCAAGCTTAATATCTTCAACTGTTACCCAACAGTGAGTTTTATGTGACTGCTGTTTAGTAAATTCTATTTTATGTGGGCTTTGTTTTCATGATGATTTTCAATTTGACCAAATTCTCATTTACTGATTTTGGTGAAATGATATCTAGTCTCATATATAGGTAGTTTGTTTACCATAGTAGATACAATTGATTCCCTCATTTTAATATGTCTAAGATGACTAGCCCGTTGACTCGCGAAATGTTTGACACTAATGATCAAAGACAAGGCACTGATGTCTAAATAAGCCGTTCAATACGCATGTATTTGGCTTATAGTTGGTCCAGAAAGAAAGTGCCACTTAATACGTTTATGATGATTATACCGGGATTTCGCCTGTACAAAACCAACGTGCAGTTTTTAAATATCTACCGAGTATGATAACTGATATCTGATCCCCGGAAAACAAGTTTTCGTTGCGGAGCTAAGTGACTTCTCTACCCTCCCATACTCTTGTCCAACATGCACCATGATATCTGTCGATCACGTCCATTCCTTGCAGATTTCATTATTTCTTTTATTCTGGTTACACTCTGCTAAGGATCAAGCAAAGCCCACAAAATGATACCATTCTCTCTAGATGCTTATTTGGTCAAAAATTTTAGACTAACAGTACATGAACACAGTTAATTGTGCCATTTCGGCTATAGATATCAATGCAACAATAATCCTTGGAGCACAGAGTCTAGACAAAGTAATTTTGAATCCGACAGGTGAAAAATTGGGATCGTAGTGCTTTTCGGAAGTTTCATGAGAATGGCAGCACACCTTAATGTTAAGACCTTTCATAAGATTTCACTGTAACTCAGTCCCTTAAAACTACTGTTTAAAAGAACTTGTCCAAGTGGTAAGCGAAGTTTCAAATTAGCCACACTAGTTGCCATATTTGTCTACAGCGTTAAAAAGCTACTATTTAAGTAAGATCGGGATTCTAGTTAGGTCAAGCTTTTGAGTGATAAGATTAAAGTTAAGGTGATTTAGTCAAACTACACGAAAGTAAATCGGCAAATATTTATAAAGTAATGAAGTGTGAGCATAACATTGTACTTAATTTTTGTAACCATGGCTTTATACGGAAGTTTAACCCTATCCATTTCGGATCGCCACTTATATGTGTAGTTATGTTACTTAGATGTAACAGAAGCATATGACTTTCCTAAGTGACCCTCTGCTTTTGAAGCAAAAATGTAAGTATTTAGTTTATAAGATGATCAAGAAACGCTAAAGAATCCATTCATATGATACTCTGTGATCATAGTAGGTTCCCTAGCATATATTTCTTCAGAGTCTTAAATCACATGTACATGACTAGTTCAGAATCATATTTCTTAATTTCCCATAGATAAACTCTCCTTCATACTCGGTTTTCTTTTGAGTGTGAAACTAACCTTATTAGGCTTTTCGTTTGATTTGTATTACTGTTGATTAACTGTTCAAACGGTTAGTTAGTAAATACACAATCTAGTGTACACCATTTAAAAATGTTTACAAATAAGGAATCTTTTAGTAAAACATCTTAATATATTATGGAAACGATTCACCGTTTGGATACAGAGTCTTAGAGGAAACAAAGACAAGAAATAAGAGAAAGATGATTATCACGGCTAGTGTAAAAGAGCAACAACTGTAAAATCACTATAGGAAAAGCAATCTTGTTAACGCATCAAACCCTCGACCGGGTTGTAGTGAATTCGAGTCTATCTTCCGTGGTACCACGTACGTAAACTTACGTTTATTTAGTTGTTGTTATTAAATCCACAACTTATCTATGTAGCCCTAGTGATTTGCCACATGTCATCTAGCTAACAGTTTCGATATCTGTTCTTTGTCAGTCAGTCAGCTACAACGTAGGACCAGGCACATATGTGCATCGGTCCAGGTTGCCATACCTCATTAGCACAACAAGATGAACACCGGATTCATAGGAGTGGTTAGGTCAAAGGTTGCAATAAGGATATAGTATAGGAAGGAAGAATTAGTTCGTATGAAATGATTTTAATCTCTTAGTTTAAGGGAAGACAAAGAGTGTATACACCGACGCCATTGTGATCGATTCTGAGCCATGTCACCCACAGTCTCCAACCATTGGTTACGAAAGTCACGCGGACCCCAACCAAGTAGTCTGCATCTACCAACATGGCTAAGACTAGAAGTTAGTGACTTCAAGCACTGATGCCACGTTTTGGTTTGGCCGCCCCTAACTTTCTTCCAACCATCCCCTACACCGGTTAGCATTGCACGTCGTGGTAATCGGTGTTCAGGCATACGTAATACGTGGCCCAACCATCTCAGTCGATGAGGATTCATAACCTCATCAACTGATTTACCATCATTCCCTAATACCCTACGTCTAACCTCACTATTACTTACCCGGTGATCCCAGCAGATGCCAGCAATATTTCTAAGGCATCTGTGGTCAAATACTTGTAGCTTACGGGTGTCTTCTACTCTTAAAGGCCATGTTTCGCTGCCGTAAAGTAAGACAGAACGGACTGCCGCGCAGTATACTCGTCCTTTTATTGATAGACGGATATCTCGCCTCCGCCAAAGGTGACGTAAGTTGGCAAAAGCCAATCGAGCTTTTCGAATCTGTGCTGAGATTTCGTCAGACACCAACCCATTAGGGCTGATCAGACTTCCAAGATAAGTGAAGTTGTCGACGCGTTCGACTACTTCACTCCCTATCCTAAGTTCAGGTGTTGACGCAAACCAGTCCTGAAGCAACAACTTGCATTTAGAGGGAGAGAAGCGCATCCCAAACATTCTGGAATTGTTGCTTAGTGCTACCAGAAGACTCTGAATTTTGTCAGTGTCTTCACCAAACGGGACTATATCATCTGCGTATTCTAAGTCGATAAGTGGACCTCCTGGAAGGAGATCAATACCCGAGAATGTTACTTCCATCAGTAGGTCTATGATGAAGTTCAACAAAAATTGAGATAGTGGACAGCCTTGACGGACACTACTTGAGGTTGCAAAAGTAGATGACAGTTCGCCATAAGCTCTCACTCCACTAGTAGTGTTCGAGTAAAGAGCCTTCACAAGGTTTATGTACTTCTGAGGTACGCCTTTCAATGACAGACACTGCCACAGAGTCTCGCGGTCTACAGAGTCAAACGCTGCTTTTAAGTCAAGAAAGACCACCATCGTCGGACGCCGATAGGTATGCCTGTGTTCTAGAACCTGACGAATGGTGAATATGTGGTCGATGCAGCCACGACCAGGTCTAAAGCCAGCTTGGTTCTCTCGAGTTTGTAGTTCACGAGTCTTAGTTAGACGTCTGATAATTATCGAGGCCAGTATTTTAGATACTATGTTTGTTAAACTAATCCCTCTGTGGTTGTCACAAGATGATTTTGACCCTTTCTTATATATTGGGACGATAAGCGATTGCGACCAGTCAGATGGGATAAAGTCTAACTCCCAGATCTTAGCTAAAATATTAGTCAACCTAATCGCTAAAATTGGACCACCATCCTTAAAGACCTCTGGAGCCAATCCATCTGGACCAGCTGCCCTTCCTCGTTTCAGATTAACTATAGCCTTTTGAACTTCAGCAAGAGTTGGGGGACCTACTTCAATGTTCCATTCACATTGTCTGGGAATGGAGGGTAGTTGTAGAGTAGCTGAAGGCCAGCTGAACTGTTCTCTAAAATGTTCCGCCCATCGTTCTAAACGTCTGGACTGGGAGCAGATGAGAGTATCATCTTTTTCCGAAATAATCTCACTTACACTTGACTTATTAATTCCAGTTTCTTTTATTAGTCTGTAAAGCTGTCTTGTGTTCCCTATAGTCGCCGCCTTTTCCATCTCTTTTGCTTTCGTTACCCACCACTGCTCACGGTCGTTCCTTAGACTTTTTCTTAACCTAGATCTGATTTGTTTTCGCTCTTCATCATGTTCAGAACCTGATGGGACGAGTTTGCGAGAATCCATCAGTGTGACAGACCTTGAAGAAATCCACTGGTTCCTTGCAACTCTGTGGTTTAAGTCACTAATAGATGTCACTGCTGTTTCCACAGCTGATTGTATGCCCTTCCAAGCAACATCTGGGTCAGCCTCGTCTTCACAACTACCTAAGTGTGACCTCAGTTGTTCCTGGAACCTACTTTTGGTTTTCTCGTTACTCAACTCAGTTCTAACGGGTCTTTTTAATGTGGCTTTTTTGCGTCCAGTGAGGCGCAAGCAGATGCGTGCCCGTATTAGGGCATGGTCGGAGTCCAAGCAGGTACTCCAGAATGAGCGACAATCTTGTACCGACCCTCTCCAACGATGACTGATGACAATATGGTCTATTTGAGTCCATCGTTCGCTTGGTGCAGGCGGTCGCCACGTTAGACGATGTCTCTACTTATGCTTAAAATCTGTGTTTGCTAAAAATAAGCGATTGTCTGAGCACAGTTGCAGTAGACGGTCACCATTATCTGTTCGCTGTGTCGGAATACTAAAATATCCACCTAAATGCCTTTCTGTTTGGTTTAAGCTTCCTATCTGAGCATTAAAATCACCTGCTACGAGTACTATGTCTGAGCGTTTAGCTTTCTGAAGAAGTTCGGACAGCTTTCTGTAAAATTCATCTTTCACTTCATCTGAGCTGCAGTCGGTGGGAGCGTAGACAGAAACGACAAAAAGGCAACGACGTGTGTCCCTATCCTTCCGAGTTCTTACGTAGCCGTTCAGCCGAACAGCACATAGACGACTGTTGACGGGGATCCACTCTAGCAGTGCTTGTTCGGCCCTCATGCTTAGTGCTATGCCTACACCTGCCAGTCCACGAGAACTGGCCATCAGGTCACCAGATACACGAAGGGTGTATCTCGTTGGCTCTCCGTTTTGCCGAGGTGAGGTCAAGTGAATGACCACACTGGGATCGTGTATGCGTGTTTCGGAGACACAGCATACATCAATGGAAAGAGACTCTAGGGTTTTAGCCAAGGAGGTCTGCTGACCGATTTGACATAGAGTGCGTACGTTGAAAGCTCCAATGTGTAGTTTGGAGCGAGGTTTCAGTAGACCTGGGACAGAGTTTTGAGCACTAGAATCGTTGGCTATGGTGACACTTGAGGAGGAAGCCGAAGGAGGAAGTTTAGGGTTGAAAGTCGATGTAGGAGGAATAATAGGAATTGAAGAGGAAGGTTGATTATGAATACAGTGGTCTTGGGTGCTGTTAGAGGTATGAGGGCGGTCATCACTTCCCGGTTGCCCACACCGTGGAAGGGTTCTTCTGGAGGTACCTGAAAAGGAAATTGGATTAGAGGTGGTCTCAGTGACCTGAGAGTGTGACCGCAGTGCCCAAGGGACAACTGCTTGAGGCCGGTCGCGCACGGCCTTTTCGTGGAAGGTTTTCGACGTGTTAGCTCCGTTCTTCAAAGGGCCTTACCGCCGGAGACGGAAATCCGTGAGGTAAGGTGAGGTGTGCATTTTTAGGGTCGACCTTTTCTAACCCCACCCCTCCTTGTGGGAAGGCAGCATCGCTGTCATGCTGGTTGTCTGAAGGAAACACCTTACTGCTGTCACACCTCTGTACAGTCAGCAGTACGACTTCGCCTTCGGACCTTGGGTTTGTTGCTTTTAGTCTTACCGCTCTTCAACCGACCTGTCTGACATGGTAGGACCTTGAGGAACGGTTGTTCCAGCCAGTATAGCTCGGTTGCTTCATCACGATAGGCAAGCCCGACCACCACGTCAAGGTAGCAACAACGGTCGGGCTGTTCTTTGTACTGAATTAAAATAGCAACAATCCAGTCAAAAATAATTTTGCTTGAGGTGGTTGTTAAATATTGCCTACCCGTGTCTACCATATAATATGACATACTCTGGTAAATTAGGAGCACAGTAAGAAAAACCTCAGGTGGTTAGTAGGGTTATGATTTTATTCCATGAGTTCTGACTGATTTTCTGAACCTTGTAGGGTAGTGTAGGGCCTCCGGTTGTAATCATCTAAATGTTCGAAATTAACGATTGAACACGTTGTTCTTGTTCGTAATATTTTGTATAGCAAATGTTAATCAGTGTGCTTATTGATTACTTTGATTATCTGTAACGTACTGATCCTTTCGGTGCCTAAAATGCAAATAGCAAATCATTGGGTTTTCTGTAGACTGACTTCATGTAGGGACAGTATGTTTTCGTATCTGACGTTGTTGACCACCTGATCTAACCATCCTCGCTATATATGTCGATTTCAATTTTAGATCCAACAGATGGAAAGCTTTTCAATTCATGTCTAGATGTAGCTGCAAGACAATTCTTGAAAGGACATGACGTCACAGATATATTGGAGAGTCCTCAGAGGACAACAGGATTCCAGATAGACAATTCTAAGGACACTAATACGTATACTGATATTTCCCAGCTACATTATCAACGAAGAGATCAGCCATCGTTAAACTCCCAGAAGCTGTTCATGCCTGAAAATGATGATAATGATAAGTATAAACGACATCTAACATTGGCATGGTTCAGACGTTTCCTCCGGTAAGATTACCTCTCCCCCAGCTGTCGTTCTTTGCTTGTCGCCCTAAAACATTTGACAAACTAGGTTTCATTTACTAAATATTACAAACACCTGAGATAATTAGATTATTTACAGAGGACAGACTCCTCCAACATTATGATATACAATACATATGATAGCTAAGTCTGAAACAGTAAGAATTATTAAAATTTTCAATAACAAGACATTAGGCCAATTTATTTATCCTTTAAGAACTTTTTCATGTTATCTCCGCTCTGTGGTCGATTTACAAGACAAATGAGTAAAAAACTGAACTTTCAGACATGTATCACATTATTAGAAGGGTCGACACTTACTACTTCGTTAGCGTTAGGTTTATTAAAAAACTAGTTCATTGATTCTGTGATTATAATTATTCATCATTAATGAACATTTCATTATCGTTTATCTTAAAATGTATATTTGGTCTACCATAACTCATGAGCAATAAATGTTGACCTAGAATAATCCACAGCTATCGATATAAGCAGATGTTTTTGTCAAATCGTACTACTCAAATAACTTCTGTATTAAACTTTACATTCCTTTAAACTTTGACACTTTATGCGTGTAATTAAAAATAGTTTAAAGTTTATTTTATGTCAAAACATCGAAATCTATTGTACAACATTTATTTCCGTTTGATATTAGGAATTATCTTTTCTGTTTAGTGCTCAGCAATGGTTTAACAGCTTATCAACCTCGAATGCAAACTAATTCTTGTTTTCATATAATTTGATCTCTTGATAAACTTAGACAGCAACGACAACAAGGTTTACAGAATAAAATGAATTCATTCTATTTCACGGTTTATTATCATTTACATACAACCCAAACTTACAGTTATTAATATAAATATAATTATTAATGAATGTTTAGCATACTTCAGTTTGTGAGGTCTAGATAGATGTTCGAACAGTAACCAAAATCATTCGTGCTTCTAAGGATTTCATTTTTATATACACAAAAACTACGTCAGAAGTTGAGAGAATATTTGAGTTCCTGTATATGCTGAAACTAGCAGTCTTTTCATTTGAAAACTAACATATTTTAGTATAAAGTAATTTTCCTCATATGTATGTATAGTTATTATTGATATTATTATGGTTATTTATTTTCTTCTCCAGGAGGCATTCATCACACTTTACACGTTTATCGGTTATTCGACGAAATCGTCTTATTCTATTAATTATGGGTTGTATAATATGTATCTTCCTACTGGGTTTTTATGGTTCTCAACCGAAGGATATCACTGGTGATCCATTATTAGATCCTCATATGAATCCAAATATTCATTTTAATCTGGAACCTATAGCTTCAGTAAAAGAAGTCTTAAATAATAATCTTAATAAAGATAGAGATAGACGTGTTATTGATGGGTTGAATGAAGCTTAATTATTCAGTAAGATGGTATTTTTTTCTAAACACTAGCTTCCTTATTGTGATTCGAATCAGTTGACAGTTTAGCTTAATGTAACTAATCATTTTATCTTTTATTGTCCAGTTTATAATTTTTCTTATTTCTTGTTATTAAAATCGTCAGACGTTTTTAAACTTTGAATAGACGACTTACTATTCATCTTCTGTTTAGTTAGGTTCGAATGTACATGTTTGATTGTCAGTCAATCGTATATTCTGATATGTTTTTTATACTTTTCCTACTCACTCCTGATTATCATTAATGTAATACTATCTTTGTTTGACCTTATTTTAATGACTGTATGCTGGTGAATAGTGATTAATACTCCTTCCTTTATGGTTTAATAACCCCCCGTAACTTATTATCTGATAAGAACTGATATTCAGGTTTATGCTTGTGTGTCCCCGAGTTTTTTCCTAGCGAACATATAGTATCCAACATCCGTCTAGGTTTTGTATTGGTAATCTGATCTGTACAAGGTATTTTAAAATATTTAAAAGATCACTACATTTGTTTTGAAATTTTCCTGGTTGCAGATATTAGATTTTAAAAACTACCAACAACTGCGGAACTAATAGCTTTTTATGAAATAAGACCGTAAGAAAAAAACGTTAGGAATCGTAAAAACTAATTGATGATGGGTGTTCCCAACGAACTGGAACTGTACTGCAGCCCTAAAAGGAACAATTCAAGGATGTGCAATGGAAAAACAGTAGATCAATATGACAGCCCCTATAATCAAGGGCAAAGTCAGTCAGCTGCAACGTAGGAGTGGGCACATATGTACATCGGTCCAAGTTGCCACACCTCATTAGCACAACAAGATGAACACTGAATTCATAGAAGTAGTGACTTTAACGGTAGTAATATACAAAAGAAAGATTATGTGTAAGGATATGTTACGAGAAGAAAGAAAGCAATTTTAACCTCACGGTTTAAGGGAAGATAGTGTGTGTACACCTATGCTATTGTGATCGATTCTGAGCCATGTCTTTAAGAGTCTCCAAACATTGGTTATGATAGTCGCACAGACCCCAGACAAGTTGTCTGCATCTACTAACATAGCTCAGAACAGAAGTTAGTGACTTCAAGAAATGATGCCACGTTTTATATTGGCTGTCACTAACTTTCTTCCAACTATCCCCAACACAAGTCAGCATTGCGCGTCGTGGTTATCGGTGTTCAGGCATATGTAACACGGTCCAACTATCTCAGTCGATGAAGATTAACAACCTCATCAACTGATTTACCATCATTACCTAATTCCCTGCGTTTAACCTCACTATTACTTACCCGGTGATCCCAGCAGACGCCAGCAATATTTCTAAGGCATCTGTGGTCAAATACTAATAGTTTACGAGTAACTTCTACTCTTAATGGCCACGTTTTGCAGCCGTAAAGTAAGACAGAACGAACTACCGAGCATTACACTCGTTCTTTTATTGTTAGACTGATATCTCGTCTTCGCCATTAGTGAAGTAAGTTGGTAAAAACCAAACGAGCTTGCTGAATACGTGTAGAGGTTTCTTCCGGCACCAATCCATTAGGGTTGAACAGATAAGTGAACTTACTGGTCGGAGATTGATGCCCGGAAATTCAGTCGACAAGAACGTTTCCATCAGTAAGTCTGATGAAGTTAAACAGAAATGGAGATGGTGAACAGCCTTGACGGACACCATTTGAGGTTGCAAAATCAGATGACACTTTGCCGTAGACTATGACTCAACTAGTAGTGTTCGAGTAAAGGGCCCTTACGAGGTTTATGCACTACTGAGGTACACCACAGAACCTCTCGGTCTACAGATTCAAGTGCTGCTTTTGATTCAGAAAAGACCACCACTGTCGGATGCCGATAAGCATGCCTGTGTTCTAAAAGCTGGCGAATGGTGAGTATATGGTCAATGCAGCCACGACCAGGTCTGTCCCATTCAGACTATTTGGGAATGGTGGGCAGCTGCAGGCCATCTGAACTGCCTTTTAAAGTGTTCCGTTCACTGTTCTAAACATCTAAACTGGGAGCAGTCAAGAATGTCGTTTTTCGAGATTGTCTGACTTACACGTAACTTCTTCATTCCGGTTCCTTTTATTAATCTGATAAGCTATCCTGTGTTACCTACACCCGCTACCTTTTCCATCTCTTCCTTTCGTTGCCCACCACTGTTCACCATCGTTCCGTAGACTTTCAGTTGATCTAGATGTTAATTTTTTTCGCTCGTCATCGTGTTCGGAGCCTGATAGGATAAGTTCACGAGAGTATATTGGTGCGAAAGCTGTAGCAGAAATCCACAGGTTTCTCGAGACCCTTTGGTTCAAATCACTAATAGAAGTCACCGCTGCTTCCACAGATGTTCGAATATCTTCTCAAGCAACATCTGGGTCAACTTCGTTTTTGAAATTTCACGGAATTTACCCTCAGTTTTCTCGTCGCTCACTTCAATTCGAATGGGTATTTTTAATGTGGCTTATCTCTGTCCAGTGAGGTGCAAGCAGATGCGTACTCGTATTAGAGCATGATCGGAGTCCAGACAGGTATTCAAGAACGAGCGACAGTCTTCTATCGACTTTCTCAAACGATCGCCGATGGCAATATGGTCTATTTGAGTCCATCGTTGGTTTGCTGAAAGGGGTCGCCATGTAAGACGATGTCTCTCTTCATGCTTAAAATTAGTGCTTGTTAGAAATGAACGATTTTCTGAGCACAGTCGCAGCAGAAGGTCACCATTATTTGTTTGGTGAGCCGGAACACTAAAACGTCCATCTAAATGTATTTCCGCTTGGTTCGAGCTATCAACTTGAGCATTAAAGTCACCTGCTACGAATACTATGTCTGAGTGTTTAGCTCTCTGAAGTAGTCCGGAAAGCCTTTTGTAAAACCCACCTTTTACTTCATCCTGGCTTCAGTCAGGGGGAGGGTAGGCAGAAATTATCAAAACGTAACGACGTCTGTCTCTATCCTTCAGACTTCTTACGGAGCCATTTATCCGAACAGCACATAGACGATTGTTAACGTAAATCCATTTCAATAGTGTTGTTCTACCCTCGTCCTTAGTGCTATGCCTACACCTGTCAGTTCACGAGAACTAGCCATCGGATCGCCAGATACACGGAGGGTGTATTTCGTCGGTCCTACGTTTTGGTGAGATGAGGTTGTAGATCACCAACGTAGATGATCTATGTCGAAATTATTGGAGGCCTACTCGAGTTTGATGTGAATGGTGTGACAAACTAGCTAACGTCGAAGTCACACCACATGGTCAGCAGCTTACGTGGACTACCCCATTGACGTATCAAGGTACCAAAGATGCTCTGAAGACTGTACAACACAAAGGACGTTATTACAGAAATATATTAGTTAAAGTAGATACAAACGAAAGTAAGACCACTGCCGTATGGACCAGTCCATGGCATACGATTAACTAATGCGCGTTGGTTGTACATGACCTTGGCAAGGAGCGATGATCTGTTCGACATTCAATGATCCAACTGCCGGATGATTTGGCTAGGGCTCAGTGAAATTTCACTGGCCCAACAAGGTCAAGTGAATGACAACACTAGGATTCCGTATGTGCGTTTCGGAGGCACAGTGTACATCAATCGAATGAGATTCTAAGGTCTTAGCGAAGGAGGCCTGCTGGTAAATTTTACATACGGTGCGTACGTTGCGGACTCCAAAGTGTTGTTTGGAGTGAGGTTTCAGTATACTTTGGCTATGGTGGCACTTGAGGAGGAAGCCAAAAGTGGAGGTTTAGAGTAGAAAGCCAACGTAGGAGGAACAATAGGAATTGAAGAGGGAGATTGGTTATGAATACAGTGATCTTGAGTGTTGTTAGAGGTATGAGGGCGGTTATCATTTCTCCGTTGCCTATACCGTTAACAGGTTCTTCTGGAAGTACCTTAAGTTGAAATTGGGTAAGAGATGTTCATAGTGACCTGAGAGCGTAACTGCAGTTCCCAAGGGACAACTGGTTGAGGTCGGTCACACACGAACATTTTGTTAATAATTTTCGTGTTAGCTCCGTACTTTTTGAGACCTTACCCGTGAGACAAGGCGAGGTGTGCATTTTTTGCACCGGCCTTTTCTAACCTCACTCCTTGTGGGAAGGCCGAGCCGCTGTTATGCTGGTTGTCTGAGGGGAACACTTCACGGCCACCACAATTCTGTACAGTCAGCAGAACAACTTCGGACCTTCGGTTTGCTGCTTTTAGTCTTTCCGCTCTTCAGCTGATCTTGCGGAACGATCGTTTCAGCCAGTATAGCTCGATTGGTTCATTGCGATAGGCAAGCCCAACCACCACGTCAAGGTAGCAGCAATGGTCAGGCAAGGGTTGAATAAACGGAAAAGTCTACCTATCAGGAAATAATGCAGAGGAAGGAAAATGATCAATTATTTGTACCCTGTTGGATGGATTAAACATTACATATATATGTATATTTATATATATAAAAAAATAGATTAGACGGTAAAATCACTAGTCAAGGGCAAACGAGGCTCCAGTGTCATACAGTATGCGATTGAGAGGGACTCGCTTACACTCAGACACGTACATATAGGACTATGTCCGAAAAGGATTTAAGAGATATTGTTCGTCTCTCGAGCAACGAAAACGAAATGATGTCTGCGAACATTCTGATACCCTTGGCCTCAGAACGCACATCCTTCTTCTGGACAGGTAGAAAAGAACAAGAAGACTAATTTTCTATTTTACATTTCCAATTTTACTCATCAGAGCACAAAGTCTCAGTTTTACCAAAGCTAGGACAAGTAAGCCATTTGGCTTGATAAACTTTGTCTGTTTCTGAAATGTGAATTAACACTTTTAGTACATAGAAAACAAATGGTTCAGTATATTAGACAGAAAAAGGCAAATAGCATACCAAACAGTAACAGGAGGATGGGAAAAAATGAGCCAACAAACGTTATATCGTTTATGATTAACATGAAATATATGACTGGTGGATAAACAAGGAGTGGGTATTTATTGCTGTCGTTGGTGGGCCCGTTTATCGGTCGTACGCCACAACCCCCTCGAACAACACACCACACCTGTTGTCCTGCGTCTTTGTCGTTGAACAACTGGCTTCTTCAAGTGAGCATACATTTTGTGCGTCCCGAACGACCTCTTTGGTTGTCATCCTCAATGTCTCCTTTCGAACCCGTTCGCCAGGGTTGTATCTTACTTGCTCAAAAACCACTTTAGACCATCAACTACTAGTTGCTGTCATAAATCATTAACGAATAGAGTTATCCTGACAATGTTAGGCGACTAACATCTCAGAACGTGATGGAGGAGATTTCATTATACTTCAAAATTATAGGCCTAAGAATTTCCAATATAACACTCGAAATAAAATTAGTTATCACTTAGAATTATTTGTTCACCTCTTTGTGTCCTCGATTTCTCCAGTTTGTGATAACATCACTCCACACTAAATCGATTCAGCTTATAACGACCAATATGCAAAGATCATTATTTGGCCGGATCGTCAGTTTGATGCTCTTAACTGAGGGCATACTTTCCACAGATATGTAAAGATATTTTTTGTTTGGGTTATTTGAAAATTATCTCCTCAAGCTACATTCTGACGTTTTTAATTATTCGCTTACTAGTCATGACTGTCTTCATGCAAGTGCATGTTTGTTCGTTTTCTATCTTACTCATCACATGTCTGTAACTTGTTTTTATCTGACTATAAAAATCATATAACGCTTGACTACATCACGTTCGCACCACTTCTAGTCATTTAGTCTCGCTTCTCTCTCTCCTTGTTACTTCCTTCTCTGCGATCCTCCGATTGTCTGTTCAGATCAACACTTGTACGAGCTATGTAGACTTGAAAGTCATTCTCGTATTTCGTCGTTTATTAACGTGATATAAGTCAAGAATTATATACGTTGATTGGCGACATGTATATTTCAATAACAATCAGAAACGATTCAAATGAAATCAGATTTTGGGCCACTAAAACCACTTAATAGTCGCCAAATTTGCTCGAACAGCAACAAATTAAGTGACTCTTATCGGTACTAATTTCAAATCACTTCTCATTTTGTTACTTCGAGTTTTACATATTCACGAGAAGTCATCTAATAGGACAGTGAAATGCCAGTTTAAAAATAAAAACTTTTCTATGGTTCACTTGAGCAACCAATAAAAGGGGAAATGATGATGAAAGTTAGTTAGAAAATAAAAGGAAAATAAGGGGTAAATGCGATAGAATGTCTGCTTTATCACCTGTCATAGGGAAATATTGCTGAATTTCCTCTTGTCTATTTTACACCTAAATACACCTCAAATCGTCTACTTTTTAAATCCACTTTTCGTCTAACCTCAATTTTCTCCTATATTCACCTTTATTAACATAACAATCACAAGAAGTGTAAAACTGACAGCAATGCCTTTCTAAAACTACAGTTTTACTATTGAGAAGCAAAGTAATCTCCCTAAGGATTACGAAATTTAATTAACATAAAAATTGCAACGGTATGTAACTTCCATAGTTGGTTAAATAGCTGTCTACGTGAAGTGTTACTTACGGTCATGTTAGTTAATACTAAAAATTGCACCTTAAAGACAGCAATGAATGGTTATAACTTTAAAGAAGCACATAAATGTTCTTGTTCTCCTCAATGACGCTTTTGTATTTTGTTTCTCACATCGTGAAAATGCCCTTGAATCGCGATGTCATACAGTTTCGCGAGCTCTTTTCTGTTTATGAATGAGGAAAGAAACCGTGAAGTTAATGAGCCTTAAGATTTGAAAAATAGTTAAAATTTCGTATGCACCTTTAAAACCTGCTCTTCTGAAGTACTCTTTTAAAAGAAAAGCCAAGTACAGTGAAATGGTTGGCAAATCCAGGTGTCATGAAGTAATGACAAAATATGGCGTACGGACGTTTTTGGATTATCATCCATAAACCGCGTCAGCATGGCCATCGAGGATATGAACAAAGAACCCAATGAATTTTGTTGACTTAAAAATTTATCTTTTATGTCTTCGTCCTGAAGATATGAGTACAATGTCCTCAATCTCTTTTCAAATGATAGAGGGGAATGCATGTACTTGTCTTAATTTGGTCAATTTACTCATCCTCCACATCTTTTGAATCCCTGCATTTTCGGTCTATCTACTTTTGAGTGGCAAAATATATATTGATAAAATGCTTTAAGACTACAAGAGAGACCTGATGTGGCACTGCGGTAAAAAAGAACACAGGCGGGGATAACCAAATGAATTTCAATACAACATTAAAAAATTTCTTGATAAGATCTGAGGACCACACAATGAATAATATATTTGAAAAATATCCATAAATTATCTCAGACTTTATCGTTTCTTCATCCCTTCATCAACCACTCTCTGTTCTCATTTTTCTCTCTTCGATTTTCCCAACCTTCTTCCTCCAGGCATCCCACTTTCGATTGGCGTGTAGCGTGGTGTCGAGTTGAGATTAACTATGAACACCGCTACAGAGAAACATGTGCCAGATAAATCAGAAGGCGTAGGTTGAACGTAACCAAAGAAATCCATAAGATCCTCGAGAAGCCAAATATCAGAAGGCAATTAATGGACCAAGTCGAGATATATTTGCTGGCGATCTCGTGGTATCGAAAGGATACCGAGATCGTGCCAGGATACAACCTTGGTTACAGAACGTAACCGAATTCGCGCGAAGTCACAATCAAAGTGTAAGAATAAGAATGGAAGCACAAAATAGCTGTCATTAGCACAGTCAAACAAAGGCACACTGAAACAAACACTGGTACAGTTGGTTATAATAATAATTGTTTTTATTAAACCAGTCGTGTTCTCGTGATAAATGTGAGTCACTACAGGCGATACATACTACTTATATCTGTTGACATCAACAACACACATCACAGTACTACTTCTGAATCATGAATAATGGATTATCTAAAACGCCTAACCAATGTCAACGGACATTAGATTGATCAGTGCGATTCACCCGACTTTTAACCACAACATAATACTAGGAGGGCTGCATATATTTACAGTGTTTGTGTCGCTAATTAAGATGCTCGATAATGAGTGAATTCAGTAAGAACTTAATTGAAAATATTGCCGTGTGTCTAAATAATTAACCAGACCGAAGTAAGCAGTAGCAGTAGATAGAGTCACTTTGTATTGTGGACGAATGGACGTCGAAGAGGACATAGGTGGAAATAGTACTGAATTAATATACTTAGTAGTCACATGCTTGACCTCATCTTGCGTAATTCAAAATTTATTACGCGCTCTTATAAATTATACACGTCTAAATTAATTACCACAACCTCCATTTTAAAATCATTTGTAAGTACATCAGATTACTATTGGATATTCATTAAGGTCGCCGCCTCTTTTGGTATCATCGGAACACAGAAGACAATGGGCTCGAATGAGGAAATCCTAAGTGCTCTGAAGATCCTCCAGAAGTACAATTTAAAAGTAGAAGCCTTTAAACTTCAGTATTGTTTTTAAAGGAATCGGAGCTTGCTTTAAAACAAGAAGCTGGTCTCATTAATGAAAAAATTGCTGAGGAATTTCTGAAATTTAAAGCGTCAGTTCCTTCTACTTTTTGTTACGATCCTTCAGTCAAGTAAAGGATGAACCAGAGAACTTTTGCGCTAACTACCAGTCTGTTCTCACATTTATGGATTCGGTTCCTGATGTGCATAAAGTAAAAACTACTTAGTTCTAACGGGTTGCGTACCTTCAGGTGGAGTTGTCTACGTTACTCTTTCCTATATTTGTCCATATGTATCTCCGTCTAATCAGTGGAAACATTTGTGGAGAGGGTAGTTTTATTCGTTTTCTTATGAAGACAGCCAAAAAGTTCCTCATAACTTTCAGGAAATATCAAGAAGATTTTTACCAGTCAGATATTAATATGCTATCGAACATTACTAGTTCACAACACTTGTCAATGAATCCTTTGATTGAATCGTTTAGAGCTTCCGAGTTTGTTGTCAGTGTTTCGGCCGAGTCTTATTCACTTCTGCGTCAGTTTCTTCAAGATAAAGAAATGAATGTCATTCAAAGTATTTTAAAGGAACAGTTATCACTTGAAAGTAAGGATGCACTACATGTCTCAAATCTCTAGTCGTCAATGGCCCTCCTAGGTCAAAGCTCCAAGTCGATTGCCGTCGTGGTGCTTTATTTGGCGAGGCTCACTTTGACGCTAACAAAGAACCTGTTTTGTATGGTCTTCTAAGAGATCCTACATTAGACTTACCAGCCGAAGTGGATACTGATCCTGGCTTCAATGACATTGATGGGAGCAATGTAGATAATAACGAAGGTAATTTGCTCCTGAAATCCCTCACAGAAAATTACATTCATATGCTCAAATTGCAATATTTTGTAATGACGTATTCCTGTAAGAATATAATTTATACCTGCCAAACAAGCACTAAATTTGGCAATTTATGTTTAAATGCGATTGCATACTCACCTTTATTGCAAATATTTTCTAGTATCCAGAGGACTAATGACATAATATTGTAAATATTTCACTCTAATAGTGATTAAAATGTTGCCCAAAGTGATATGTATGTTCCTGGTTGTCTTTTTTAGATAACGGGGATCAGAGTGTTGCGAAAAAGAAAAAACGGAGGGATGGTATGACGTCAGGTTCTGGACATCCTGGTAGACCATCTCTTTCGAAAGATGTTAGCAAATCTGACTCTAACTCTCCAGCTCTTGATCGAATTCCCCTGCCTAAGGTAGTTTCTATTTACTTGTTGCTTGTTTTATAATCGATTGTCATCAATTTGTTTTGGAAGAGATTTGTATTTAGGATACCGAGATTTCTAAAGCTAGCATCAGTTTAGTTGCCTAAATCACATTTAGTTTGCTCTGTCCCGAAAGCCTGTTGATACTTGAGTTCTGTGTACGTTTGTTCAATGATAGATGTTTTTCATGTGTGGACTTATGTCGTTTATTCATACTCATTACTTTCATTGATCGTGTATTTTAAAGGCTGTATTTTCTAAAAGTTATTTCGAAACAAAAGTCCAAACTAAATTTGGATGTAGATTAACAAAAAGTCCGCAACCACCATGAGTGATGGTGGTTTACTTGTTTCCGACTCGCGCATCCTACAAGTAAGATTATTGAGTAATCGCATTTCGTACTCTAAGCGAAGAATTTCCGTTCATCGAATTAATTTTTTTGCAATTAGTATAATTTATGATCAAGATTAGCACAATAAAAGAGCTTTTTCTCTGTAAATTCCATGTATGAAGGTAAGTTGATTGTCAATAACTGTATACTGTGGTTTGCGACCATTAATACTTCTATGTTCTAGCTGTTGTAAATTTATAATTTTCTAGCTGCGCGAGTCATACATTGAAAGCAAACAAGCTCTTTCACGAGAGATATCTACTCTCCTACGTAATTATCAACAGCGAAATCCACAAAAGTCATCAGTCGGTACAAGCACAGTCCTTTATACAATATGCAATGCTCAGGCTGGTGAGTCAACCCTAGCTATTCGAAGAGGTGGTGTTACATGTTGCAGTTTCAGTGATGACTCATCACAACTAGCTGCTGGATTCGGATCAGGTCGTATCCGTGTTTGGTCTTTAGGCCCCGAATCATTAAGGCGTATGCTTCCGGCTTCAGAGTTGAGCTTACTGGATAAAGATGACTCTAGAGTAAAAACTAATATGTTATATGACGAAAATGAGTAAGTCATTTTTGAGTGTCTATTTGCTGGTCGTCGTTTTCCGAGATTTTCTTAAGTAGTTCCATTTTCAGACAATCTGTTACATTATTTTTCAGCTAAATATCCTATTCTATGTACATGCGTACCGATTATACATTGCACTCGACTGAATGAATCATTCTATGTAGTTTTATTAGGTCTAAACCTTCCACTAGTTAGTCAGTCATAATCAGCATAGGACCCGCCACAAGTGTGTATTAGTTGGAGCAACCATAATCAACACATGGAGATGAAATTAACAAGATTAATACCGATGAGCTGAAATGACTGTAGTAGCACCGATAATAAGAGATAACCTTGAGAATATGGTTCGAGAATAGGGAATGAAATGGTGTATTTCCATCTGTTGCTTTAAAAATATAACCTCCATTGAAATAATAAAATAGATATGCAGCTTAATTTATTTACTCTTATTTTGCTTACGTCAATTATAGTTTGTAACTTCTCAACGTTTTTGGCTCTTATACTGACGATCGTCCTCGTTATTTAAATCAATGATTTCTTTTTAACGAGCTGAAATGGTTACTTTGAAAGGCTGTCTAAATAAACCTAATATGTGTAACTACTCATTCTTAGCAAACCGCGATGGCGACATATAAAAAGCAAATAATAGTTGAACAATAGCTATTCACCTACTCGGACTCATAGAAGCCGTTCAAGATATTGACCATAGTTCATTTAGAAGTCCGATACAGAAACTAGATTACTTAAATTGTTATAATTTAGATCTAAAATGATGTAAGACATCATAAACTACATCAATAAAGTAGTTGCATGGAGTTCTAATTGTGAACGAAAAACAAAGGGGTGAATATAAACAATGTAGTAAGTGACAGCTATAATTTGCAATCTCTTCACTCAACAAGTTGGTGACTTCATGACATTGTCGACGTAAGTGATTCAGCACAACAGTTGTTGGCTTGTTATTTCCATCGTTACAAGTTTGTATGGCTCCTTACAACTCATCGAAGCCCGTCAGTCTACTCCGGGTGACCGTGAGTTCGACCACAAACGGAGGCGGTTACGTAATGAAATCGGACAAAGCTTGCGTAAGGACCAAGAAGCCTGGTGGCCGGAGAGTACTAATGAGCTGGGAGCAGCAGATGCATCTGGTAACTACCGGAAGCTCTTCCAACTCATCCCAACCACTGGCAGCAAGAAGTCTGGTGTGGGCGAAACAATCTGTGAGGATGACGGGATGCCAATCACTAACATCCATCGACGTCCTGGACGATGGGCAGAATTCTTCGAAGGGCAGTTCAACTGGCCTGCTGCTCCGGCAACATCGGGCAGACTGTCCTGCCCTCCATGGCCGGTGACGACTGATCCACCAAATGAGGCGGAAGTCCGCAAGGAACTCCAAATCTTGAAGCGTTACAAATCACCCGGTCCAGATAACTTACCTCCGGCTCTTTTTAAAGATGGTGGTGACTTTCTGACTAAGGAACTGACTGTGTTGTTTACAAAGGTTTGGGAGTTAGAGAGTGTTCCAACGTCATGGAATGAGTCGATAGTTGTCTTTATCTTTAAAAAGGGTTCACGTCGTTCCTGTAACAACTATCGGGGGATAAGTCTACTTCCGACTGCGTCCAAGCTATTGGCTTCCGTCATTCTTCGTAGGTTGTTCAAAACCCGAGAAAGATTGACTCGCGAGGAGCAGGATGGGATTCGTTCTGGTAGAGGATGTTCTGACCATATCTTCACCCTCTGCCAAGTGTTAAAACACCGCCAACAATTGCTAAAACCCTAGAATCTCGTACCATTGACGTTTGCTGTGTCTCCGAAACACGCATACACGATCCCAGTGTGGTCATTCACTTGACCTCACCTCGGCAAAACGGAGAGCCAACGAGATACACCCCCCGTGTATCTGGTGACCTGATGGCCAGCTCTCGTGGACTGGCAGGAGTAGGGATAGCACTAAGCATGAGAGCGGAACAAGCACTGTTGGAGTGGGTCCCCGTCAACAGTCGTCTATGTGCTGTTCGGCTAAACGGCTCCGTAAGAACTCGGAAGGATAGGGACACACGTCGTTGCCTTTTCGTCGTTTCTGCCTACGACCCCACCGACTGCAGCTCAGATGAAGTGAAAGATGAATTTTACAGAAAGCTATCTGAACTTCTTCAGAAAGCTAAACGTTCAGACATAGTACTCGTAGCAGGTGACTTTAATGCCCAGATAGGTAGTTTAAACCAAACAGAAAGGCATTTAGGTGGGTATTTTAGTATTCCGGCACAACGAACAGATAATGGTGATCGTCCGCTGCAACTATGCTCAGACACTCGTTTACTTTTAGCATAAGGAGAGACATCGTCTAACGTGGCGACCGCCTGCACCAAACCAACGATGGACTCAAATAGACCATATTGCCATTAGTCATCGTTGGAGAGGGTCGGTAGAAGATTTTCGCTCATTCTGAAGTACCTGCTTGGACTCTGACCATGCCCTAATACGGGCACGCATCTGCTTGCGCCTCACTGGACGCAAAAAAGCCACAGTAAAAAGACCCATTAGAACTGAACTGAGTAGCGAGAAAACCAAAAGTAGGTTCTATGAACAACTGAGGTCACACTTAGGTAGTTCTGAAAACGAGGTTGACCCAGATGTTGCTTGAAAAGATATACAAACAGCTGTGGAAACAGCAATGAAATCTATTAGTGACTTAAACCACAGAGTTTCAAAGAACCAGTGGATTTCTTCAAAGTCTATCACACTGATGGATTCTCGCAAACTCGTCCCATCAGGTTCCGAACATGATGAAGAGCGACAACAAATCAGATCTAGGTTAAGAAAAAGTCTAAGAAACGACCGTGAGCAGTGGTGGGTAACGAAAGCAAAAGAGATGGAAAAGGCGGCGGCTGTAGGGAACACAAGACAGCTCTACAGACTAGTAAGAGAAACAGGAATTACTAAGTCAAGTGTAAGTCAGACTATTTCGGAAAAAGACGACACCCTCATCTGCTCTTAGTCCAGACGTTTAGAACGATGGGCGGAAGACTTTAGGGAACAGTTCAGCTGGCCTTCAGCTACTCTACAACTACCCTCCATTCCCAGACAGTGTGAATGGAACACTGAATTAGGTCCCCCAATTCTAGCAGAAGTTCAAAAGGCTATAGTTAATCTGAAACGAGGAAGGGCAGCTGGTCCAGATGGATTGGCTCCAGAGGTCTTTAAGGATGGTGGTCCAATTTTAGCGATTAGGTTGACTAATATTTTAGCTAAGATCTGGGAGTTCGACGTTATTCCATCTGACTGGTCACAATCACTTATCGTCCCAATATATAAGAGAGTGTTAAAATCATCCTGTGACAACCACAGAGGGATTAGTTTAACTAATATAGTATCTAAAATACTAGCCTCGATAATTATCAGTCGCTTAACTAAGACTCGTGAACTGCAAACACGAGAGAATCAAGCTGACTTCAGACCTGGTCGTGGCTGCATCGACCACATATTCACCATTCGTCAGGTTCTAGAACACAGGCATACTTATTGGCGTCCGACAATGGTGGTCTTTCTTGACTTGAAAGCGGCATTTGACTCGGTAGACCGCGAGATTCTGTGGCAGTGTCTGTCATTGAAAGGCGTACCTCAGAAGTACATAAACCTTGTGAAGGCTCTTTACTCGAACACTACTAGTGGAGTGAGAGCTTATGGCGAACTGTCATCTACTTTTGCAACCTCAAGTAGTGTCTGTCAAGGCTGTCCATTATCTCAATTTTTGTTGAACTTCATCATAGACCTACTGATGGAAATAACATCCTCGTCGACTGAATTCTCGGGTATTGATCTCCTTCCAGGAGGTCCACTTATCGACTTAGAATACGCAGATGACATAGTCCTGTTTGGTGAAGACGCTGACAAAATGCAGAGTCTTCTGGTAGCACTAAGCAACAATGCCAGAATGTTTGGAATGCACTTCTCTCCCTCTAAATGCAAGTTGTTGCTTCAGGACTGGTCTGCGTCAACACCTGAACCTGAACTAAGGATCGGGAGTGAAGTAGTCGAACGCGTTGACAACTTCACTTATCTTGGAAGTCTGATCAGCCCTAACGAGTTTATTTATTTTATTTTATTTTATTTGAACACATAAATATTGGTACAAGAGAGCGCCAATATATATGCGCCACACAAAACAATGGGAATTCGAAGGGAAGTAGAAAGAAAAAAAAACTAAGGAACGCAAAAGAAAAAGAGAGTAATGACGAAGAGGTACAATCAGAAGAAATCTTTCAGGTAAAGGAGACACAACCACTTTTTATGAAGAAAGTAAAAGAAGGTTACAGCAGGATCGCCACTGGCTTCTATTCTGAGCCATATCTGATAACGTCTCTAGCCACTGTGTAGCACCATCTCTCGGACCCCAGCCAGGGAGTCGTGAAGGACCAACACAAGCCAGTCCTTTGCAGCTTTCTTTCATGCCACGACACCATGTCATGCACTGACCACCTCTCCGCTTCTTCCAACCAGTCCCAGAGTCGGCAAATAATGCACGACGTGGAATTCTCTGGGACGACATTCGGAGAACATGTCCAAGCCACCGAAGTCGGTGTTTCAAGATGGTGACACCAATTGAGTTATCATCTCTGTGCCCGAACACACGATGCCGAACCTCTGCATTACTGACATGGTGTTGCCACTGAATGTCAGCAATCCTTCGGAGACAGCGATGATCAAACACAGAGAGTCGTCTAACGTCCTCAACTCGGAGAGGCCATGTTTCACAAGCATAGAGCAAAACTGCTCTCACCGACGCGTTGTAGATCCGGCCTTTTACAGCCAGACTAACATCACGAAGGCGCCAAAGGTGGCCCAGATTGGCATAAGCCGCTCTGGCTTTCACTATTCGTGCATTGATCTCATCACTCACACCCCCACCAGCACTTATGCAGCTACCCAGATACACGAACTTCTCAACTACGTCTATCTGCTCACCATCCAGGGTGAGTACAGGAATGGGATCCTGCCAGTCTTGTAGAAGTACTTTGCACTTCGAAGGTGCAAAGCACATACCATACCTACGGACATTGATTGCCAACTGATTAAGTGCGAATTGCATGCCTTGGGCATTATCGCACAGTAAGACAATATCGTCCGCATACTCAAGGTCGAGAAGTCTTTCTCCAGGCAACAGATCCACACCACCATTACTTACATTCATCAGAGCTGTTTCCAGAAAGTCGTCGATGGCAAAGTTGAAGAGGAATGGTGAGATTGGGCAACCCTGTCTAACCCCACTGCTCGAATGGAACAATGGAGAGAGGTGGTTGTATGCCCTCACTCTGCCTGAGGTGTTTTTATACAGGGCTTTTAGGATGTTAATAAACTTCTCAGGCACACCCTTCTTCAATAGACAATCCCAGAGAACAGTTCTGTCCAACGAATCGAAGGCAGCCCTGATGTCAAGGAACACTACGATTGTTGGCCTTTGAAAAGTATGGCGGTGTTCTAACATTTGGCGGAGGGTGAAGATATGATCAATACATCCTCGACCAGAACGAAACCCAGCCTGCTCCTCGCGAGTCAATCTTTCTCGGGTTTTGAACAACCTACGAAGAATGACGGAAGCCAATAGCTTGGACGCAATCGGAAGTAAACTTATCCCCCGATAGTTGTTACAAGAACGACGTGAACCCTTTTTAAAGATAGGGACAACTATCGACTCATTCCATGAGGTTGGTACACTCTCTAGATCCCAAACCTTTGCCAACAACGTCGTCAATTCCTTAGTCAAAAAGTCACCACCATCTTTAAAAAGAGCCGGAGGTAAGTCATCTGGACCGGGTGATTTGTAACGCTTCAAGATTTGGAGTTCCTTGTGGACTTCCTCCTCATTTGGTGGATCAGTCGTCACCGGCCATGGAGGGCAGGACAGTCTGACCGATGTTACCGGAGCAGCAGGCCAGTTGAACTGCCCTTCGAAAAATTCTGCCCATCGTCCAAGACGTCGATGGATGTTTGTGATTGGCATCCCATCATCCTCGCAGATTGTTTCACTCACACCAGACTTCTTGCTACCAGTGGCTCGAATGAGTTGGA